GGTCCGGCGGCCTGGGACGGCCCTCAAACACCCGACCCAGCTCCGGTCCACACCGCGCCTGAGCTTTTCAAACGGCGCTCACCCCGCGTCTCGTCATCGTCGCGCCTCAAGACTCAGGAGCGTGTCGTCCCTAGTCTTTCTGGCAGTGAGGACCCCTCCTCTTTCCAGTGCCCCAGGGACTGCGGTAGGTGGTGGGTTGTGGGCCGGGCTGAGAAAGGGACAGAAGGGCCAAAGGTGGGGTACTGGGGGATAGTGAAGGACTAAGGGGACGATGGGGGACCTGGAGAGAACGGTGGGGGCGCAAGGGGAATAAGAGGGCCTAGGGAGATTGTGGGAATCTAGAGGAGATAATGGGGGCGTATGGTGCTGGTGGAAACCTGGAGGGAATAATGAAGGGTCTAGAGACTCTGGGTCATGGAGGACTCTAGGAGCCTAGAGGAACCAGGGGGACCTGGAGGGGATGATGGGAGCCTAGGGGGGATGGCGGAGACCTGAAGGATGGGGGAGGGGGGCTGGAGAGAGAGCGGGGACGTGGAGGGGTTGGCAGTTGCCTGGAAGATGCTAGGAGGGATTGTGGAGTAATAGGAAGACTTGAAAAGAGGGTGTGGTGATCAAGGATGGGGATTTGAGCTTGCATATCCCACAGGCCTAAAATGGAGGGACATGAGTGGAAAGGTGGTGGGGGTGACATGTTACGTCTCAAACATATGGGAGAAATCAGTGTCCTACCCTCACAAACCTACCCACCTCAGCATGGAAAGAAAGAAACCAGACTCGTTACTGTGTGAACTTGTCAGATTGAATACACGTATGTGGAGCGTCAGCAAGAGAGAACATAGTTGGGCACAACCTCACACATCTCCAACATAGTAAGGCAGAAGAAAAGGCAAATAAGACTTCTCTCCCATTTCCTGGAGGGAAAGATGCATCTTCCCTCCCCCTCCTGCTCCCTTCCTCCCCCTCCCCTCTCCCTTCCCTCCTCTCCTGCTTCCTTCCCCCCTTCCCCTTCCTCCCCTTCCCCTTTCCTCTTCCTTCCTACTTTCTTTAAAAAGCAATGGAAAAAATATCCTTGGGTGAGGATTAACAACAACAAAAAAGAACATGGGAGAAGATGGGACTGGGGGTGGATATTGTGTGGCAAATGGAGCAGTGGGAGGTATGTGATCTGTGTCCCATCTGCCTGTGTGCTTAAGGTGTGGCATTCTTCATTGGGCTGGTTAGTTTAGGGCAGACAGTGAGAACACAAGGGGAAGGCTAAATGGAGAAAGAGAGTCACCCATAATCCCATCCAGAGATGAGCATGTTTTCCGTTTTGATGTAGAGCTATCATTCCAGATATCTGTTCATTCATTTATTCATTCCTTTGTATCTCTTCCTCCCTGCACACTCACACAGTTGTGGATCATGGTGAGCAGAGGGGCAAAGTATTCATAAGTTTACTAGTATAAAGATTTGGGAAATATGGGTCAAAGTTTTCCCCATGGGAGAAATGAAATTCAGTTGGGTATTGCCTGGGAGGAATCCAGCTCCTGAAGGTGTGTGGTTGAGAGTAAATTTCCTAAGAAAGGGGAGGCTTTGGGCCAGCAGGTCCACATGCTCCCCAAGGTTGTCCCTCGAGGGTAAGAGATAGGCCCTTTTTTGAGCATTGGCTTTTCCAGGCATTTGTGTTGTATTTCGCTTAGCCCACACGGTGACCTTCTAGCATGAGCAGTGTCACCACCACTGTACACACAAGTCTCTGGCAGAACCAGTAAGAGCAGGTCTGTGTCCCTCAAAGGCCACTAGACGGCAGCCTTAGCATCACCTGGAACTGGTGAGAAATGTACATGCTTGGGCCCCACTCAGACATACTGTGGTCACATCCTGGGGAGTCACATCCCTGGGTTGGGTACTTCCCTGTGAAACACCCCTCAGAGGGTCAGCGAGAAAACAGCAGGAGGGAGTTTAAATGTAGGAAATGCAGTGGGAATTACATAAAGTCCTATTTACTCTGAGGAGCTACTAAGATGGGGCACGCCCTGTGAATACACCATGCTGCTACAGTAAAACATCCAAATAGCACTTGGAACCTCCCAGGTTGAAAGTGGGTGCCTCTGAGGAGCAGGAGATGAAGGTAATGGAAAAGGCTGGCCATGGCACCTGGAGACACTGCTCCCACTGTTCTGACTCTAAGCCTTCTTGTGGTCAGGAGTTATTGGAAGGTGTGTAAAATATTGCTGGTTCTGTTACTCTGGAAATTAACTAAAAATAGGTGTTTACTTGATACTTTTTCACTGTAGGCACAGTTCTGATGCAAGAACTGAAAGAGATGTTATACTAAATACCGTGCATCATAAGTGTGGTCCAGTAACCTAGAGCATCATTCTGCCAATGAGCTCCAAACATCCTTGGGAGCCTTGTCATGACCTTCCCTTCCCATTTCAGTTCTATTTTCAGGGTTCATGCAAGTCTGTAAATCTTTCACTAGAAGATGTAAGTTCTAGATTACAGTGGGTGAGGACCAAGTAAGGACTCCAGAACTCAGCACATATCGGACCTGCATCAGCACATAAAGGAGGAAAGCGGTCCATAGTGGACAGTTGATGTTTCCACATGGCATGGGATTCACTTAGCACAGTGCTGGCGAACCTATGACACGCGTGTCAGAGGTGACACGCAAACTCATTTTTTTGGTTGATTTTTCTTCGTTAAATGGCATTTAAATATATAAAATAAATATCAAAAATATAAATCTTTGTTTTACTATGGTTGCAAATATCAAAAAATTTCTATATGTGACACAGCACCAGAGTTAAGTTAGGATTTTTCAAAATGCTGACATGCCAAGCTCAAAAGGTTCACCATCACTGACTTAGCAGATACTTCCTGGGGCCTGGATGTGCTGGCACTGTGCACAGGGCAATCTCCGCATGATTGCTTCTCCAGTATCAGACCCAGTTGTCCCTCATGTGAGCACATTTATAGGCTCTTAGGAGTTGTGGTGAGTGCTGTGGTTGATGAGGGCTCCATGATGAGGCTCCATTTTGGGAGAGATGATGTCATGGGGGCAAAGTCCCTTCAGTGTCCTGGAGCAGCAGGTTCAGGGTTGACCAGGGCTGTGAGCATGCTGCTGTGATGGAGGCCTGAGATACTTGGCCCCCAACATTTGTCAGACATGAAAACACTGAAAACCATGGTGACACTGATGTCATAGTCAACCCCTAATTCTGAAAGTAGAGACCTTTGGCATTTTTCACAATCTAGCAGGTTGTGTGCATGGTAGGTATGTTGGTCATAACCGGCTGGGGCCTGTGGCACCTGTTTCCTGTCCTGTGAGAGGTCAGTCCCATGCAGTAATGTTCGGCATTTTGTCTGTGCTTGTCTCAGAATACCCAGGTGAGTGCCCCTCTCACTAGGGGGAAAGGGCTGATGAAGATGCAGGTGCCTTAAGGTTCCCTCTCTCCTGCTTGAGCCGTTGGCATAGAGGAAAGGCAGGACCTTGCCCCCATGATGAGCTTCTGCAAGGTCCAGCGAGTGTGGAGAGCTCATAGGTCAGGCCCTTGAAGAAGTTAACACTGTCCTCTGTTCAGAGGTCAGGAGTCAGACAGCTGAGGAACTCCTTGCTGACTTGACTTTCTGGATCCTTCAGAGTCTCCTGGGATGAGAGTGTGAGGCTGTTGTTGCCTGCATTTTTATTTTATTTTATCTTTTCACCCTTTTTTTTCTTTTTAAATCTTTACTGTTGAGAGTACCCATCTGGCAACCATCAAAATGTTCTCTGTTTCTATGAGTCTGTTTCTGTTCTGTTTATTCACTTATTTTAATTTTTTGATTCAGTTGTTGATAGATATGTATTTATTGCCATATTATTATTCATATTTTTTATCTTTTTCCATTTTTTTAAAGAAGACCTTTAACATTTCATGTAATACTGGTTTGATGGTGATGAACTCCTTTAGCTTTTTCTTGTATGTGAAGCTCTTTATCTGACCTTCAATTCTAAATGATAGCTTTGCTGGGTAAAGTAATCTTGGTTGTAGGTCCTTACTATTCATCACCTTGAATATTTCTTGCCACTCCCTTTTGGCCTGCAAAGTTTCTGTTGAGAAATCAGCTGATAGCTGTATGGATGCTCCCTTGTAGGTAATGGACCGCTTTTCTCTTGCTGCTTTAAAGATACTCTCTTTGTCTTTAACCCTTGGCATTTTAATCTGATGTCTTTGTGTGGGCCTCTCTGGGTTCCTCCTATTTGGGACTGTCTGCACTTCCTGGACTTATAAGTCTATTTCTTTCACTAGGTAGGGGAAGTTTTCTGTCATTCTTTCTTCAAATAGGTTTTCAGTATCTTACTCTTTCTCTTCTCCTTCTGGCACCCCCATAATGCAAATTTTGATGTTTGAAGTTGTCCCAGAGGTTCCTTACACTATCTTCATATTTTTTTAATTCATTTTTCTTTTTGCTCTTCTGATTAAGTGTTTTTTGCTTCCTCATATTTCAAATCGTTGATTTGATTCTCAGAATCCTTTCCTCTGTTGTTGAATCCCTGTAAATTATTCTTTATTTCAGTTAGTGCATTGGTCAGCAAACCACGGCTCGCGAGCCACATGTGGCTCTTTGGCCCCGTGGCATGGGTCACGAAGTTTCAATCGCACTGTACGTGCGCACCCGCACGTGGTATTTTGCGGAAGAGCCACACTCAAAGGGCCAGTTTGCCGACCACTGAGATAGTGTATGCTTAGTTTCTGACTGGTCCTTTTTCATGTCTTTGACATTCTCACTAAGATCCTTGAAAGTCTCACTAAGTCCCTGGAAGCTCTCTTTGAGTCCCTTAAAGCTTTCATTAAGATCCTTGAGTAACCTTATAACCATTGTTTGGAACTCTGTATCCATTAGTTTGTATGCTTCCAATTCTTTCATTTGGAACATGTTTCTTTGTCTCCAAATTTTGGCTGTTTCCCTCTGTTTGTTTCTATGTATTAGGCAGAGCTGCAATGTCTCTTAGAATTCTTAGGCTTAGAGCGGCTTTGGGTATTAGGTGTCCTGTAGGGCCCAGTGACTCAGCCTTCCCAGTCACCTGAGCTGGGCAATCTAGGTGTACCCCTGTGTGGGCTGTGTGCATAGTTTTGATTGCTGTTGATGCCACTTGGAGGAGTTGACCTCCAGGCCAATTGGCTGTGAGGACCACAGTGGGAGAGCTGCTGCACG